CCCACACCCACACCCACACCCACACCCTCGCTGCCCGCGGCCCCCTGCCCACACCCACACCCACACCCACACCCTCACCCTCGCTGCCCGCGGCCCCCTGCCCACACCCACACGCCCCCCGTACCCTCACTGCCTGCGGCCCCTGAAGAGCTGAACAGCTATGAAGGTATGAAGACCTTGCCCTCATCACGGACCCTGGTGTTCGCTGGTCAGTACAGGTCAACGTCGGAGGAACCTTGAAATCGGAGCTGCTCGAACTACGTCCCACCCAGTCTGCTACCTCACATACCTTTTTAAAACTGTCGCCACTGATCCAAGAAGTGAATAAGCATCGGACGGACAGCACGCAGGCGGTCACAACGAGCGCTGGCGAGAGGGCCACGCGGGGGCGGTCCCCGCAGGGTGGACTTACTGCTGGACCTGCTGGCTGCAGCTGGCGCTGGTGAAGCTGACGATCAGCTGCAGCCTCTCGGTGGAGTAGTCCACGAACTGCCGCTTCAGAGCCCTCTCCTGCGCGCGGGTCGTCCACGTGAGCCGCTCGTACAGGTACAGCAGCCCGTACAGCCCGGCCGACAGCGCGATCAGCCTCCAGCCCACCGTCCGCCACACCTGCGCGGCGGAAGAGCAGGGCCCGTCAGCCCCTCCTGCCTTTTTCCCCACCAGCCCCCCCAGACTGCCGCTGGCCTGGCTGCCAGCTCTACCTGTAGTTAGTTTTGTATCAAAGGCAGCACCTGAGGCCAGGCATGGAGAACACCCATCCTTACCCAGCACAACTCCCTCCTCGCTTGGCCTTTCCGAACCTGAACTGGAGGCCAGACAGGCGGACACTCACCACTCCGCCGGCGATGAGGACGCTCATGGACGTCCGCGAGGTGAGCGAGGCCAAGCCGGCGGCCATGGACAGCACCAGCTCGTCCTGAGACGGGGCGCCCTGGGCCCCAGGCAGAGCCCCCACTGCGGGCGGCGTCGTCGCCAGAGGCTGGGGGATCTGGGAAGAGGACGGACGGCCGATGAGGAAAGCCCTCCCCGCTGCCAGGAGCGCACAAGCTCAAGCTAGGTTAGACCCAGGGGTGTTTGTGGCCCCTCCTGTTTGTGCCTGTGAGACGCTCCTTTTAACCGGGCAGGGCAGGGATATCAACACCGCAGGGGTGCTCCTTTGGGGTTTTTTTTACTTTTCAACTTCGCGATGAAAGCAGGGGAGTCTCACGGCTGGCAAGAGGGGCTGAGCCGCGCAAGGTCCGCGAGCGGCACAACGCTCCTACCTGGAAGCTTCTGTCCACCAGCGTCAGGGCCCTTTTGGCGTTGGCGGGGCCCAGGAAGCGGGTGACCAGGGCCGCCCAGCCCAGAGAGAAGCGGAACTCGATGTCCTCCTGGAAGTCGGAGCAGAGGCTGCTGCAGCTCAGGTCATAGCTGAGGTCGAACTTCCTGCAGGGGACCAGCATGTGGAGCCGGTCCTGAGCAGCAGGGGGCAGCAGAGGCTGCAGGCTCTCTGAGAGGAGGAGGAGGAGGAGGAGGACGACGACAAGCGGTCAGGACTCAGGACTTCAGCCCAGGTAGAGAAAGGTAGGGATGCACGTTCCTATCGGTCTGCACATCTGTTTAGCTATCCGGCACACAAGCTGCTTTTCCCATTTATCCAGCTTCTCATCGGTCTAGCTACACATCAATTAATCCCTATACAGAGCGTGCATTTTACGGTCAAACCGTTGATGAAAAAGAAGTTTCATTTGGACAAAACCTCATGATACTAAGGACTTTGTAAACTGCAAAACACAGGGATGACCACAATTACAGCTCCTTTAACTTGGGGCTTTCCTGCGTTAACTGGAAAAACAAACTCGCCGTCTCTCTTACTTCACTCTTCCAGGGCCAGGGTGTACCCCAAAGGCCCAACTTCTATTTTAAAACTAGTCTAATCCTCACAAAAACCTGGCTGTGATTTTTTTCCCCGTGTTGACAAATGAAAGACGCAGTGGTGCTGCTTCGTGGGCAGAAGTCAGCCCCTCCCGCATGTTCTCACCGATCATCTGCTGCTGGGCTGAGTGCACAGACGCGTTGACGGCGCTGGAGCAGTGGAAGGCCAAGTTCTTCCCCATTCCTTCCTCCACGTGTTTCAGAAGTTCCTTCAAAGACAGGTGAGGGGCATGAGAATCACTGCACGCGAGTACAGGCGCAGGCATTGAAGCTCCAGGTGGAGATTTTCACGCAGGACCTGACTGATAACAAGCTCAACTGCAAACGAACAGCAGGGGTGCAGTTAAGTTCTGCTAGCGAAAGGTCACAAGCGCCAAAGGCCACCTGGATCAGGAAATCTGACACTGGCAGGTCTTCGCTAATACCACGGAGCAATCAATCGTTCTTTTGTTTACAAAAGCATCCCTTGACTGCCTACAGTTCGATCCTGTGAGTTCGAGCTGAGGAACTGAAGAGTCAGCTGATCTCGCTGAGGCCCCACGAGTTTCCACTCTCTTCCTCAACACGACCAGGACGGGCCTGCTCTCCACCGGCGGTACACTTACAGATTTGTACATTTTTAAAACTTGTGCAGAGGGATGAAAATCAGAGTGGAACTCATCCACCAGCACCGACAGACGGCAAATCTCTTCCGCCATTGCGTTGGAAACCTGAAAAGGTAAAAAACTGAGGTCAAGATCGCCTACAGCAGAGATGCTGATTGTTCCTGTCTGGGGAGCCTCTGTTCCAGGTGTCAGTCTCAATCCTTACTCCCGACTTAAACTTGGCAGAATATTTAGGATAACGTCCAGCCCAGCCAGCGTGCTTATCAGCTTGTTACATATGGGGGCACCTCGACAGCCTGAGAACTGTAGTGCGCTGCTGTCTGGATCCTCACCTCTGAACTGGACGCTCTCCACTTTCCCTCCACAAGCAGAAACCTGCTCCCTCCCACCACACACATTGTACAGCCCCTGGTCATCCCGTCATCATAAAATCAGCCCGAAAAACAGCTCAAACTTCTTCACTAAAACACCTGAGGAGTAGAAACGCGCTACAGCAGACCTACCGTGTCTGAATGTCGATTTCATATGCCATCATCAACCCACAACATGCATGTAAAAAAATCCTTCTTTATTATTCAAAGCACTTCATATTTGTACCAGCTTATACAGCAGGGCACTTTACTGAAGTACACTGCTTAAGGCTACAACGGTAGTGCCCTACTTGGGATTTGAACCCACAACCTCCCAGGTCAGAGTCCAGACCTGCACCCCCTATTGGCTCCAGCTGTGCTGCTTCTTTTGGGACAGTAATCAGGGAGGGCACGAGCTCGGTTTCTGCTTACCTTGGCCTCCACTTCTTCCGTCACGGCCTTGATCTTCTTCTTAATGTCCTCAGTCAGCAAGTTCAGCTGATTGCGGACAAACTCCAGTCGGTCCACCTGGTCGTCCTTCTCTTCCAGCGAACGGACTCTTGGGGCGAGGGGACAGCAGAGGAGAGCCATTAGACACTCGGTCCGCCAGGTGTCACTTTACCACAAAGACTGGTCTGTATTATTTGGATTCAGGCTGTACAAGTGCTGATGCCGTTCTGGAGATGTGCCCAAAGGCTTTCTGCAGAAGTCATCTGGGCAACAAGACCTACAGCAGCAAACACATGCTTCACCACCTGCTGCCTGACTGGATAAAACAGTGGAAACAGGGCCGCCATTAAATACTGGTGTGACTCCAAGAGAGGGACATTAACGCTCATATCAAGCCCTTGGAGATCAGCCGTGACAAACAGCTTTTGGGAATTAAAATTGGTTTCCGTGAAGGCTGATCGAAAGGCAGAGGCTGGTGAATTCGAGCTGGTCCTCCTGTTGTTGCTACTGCCTACAGAAGGCAGCAGTGCAGACCCAGAGCAGGGTTTCGCGGTTGAAATCGAGCAGCTTTGAGAAGGGGAGGAGAACAAGCCCCCAGGTGCCCTGGGGCGCGGGAGAGGAAGTGGTAGGCGCTCACCTCTTCTCTGCTGAGGTGATATTGATGGCGTCCATGATGCCCTTCACGGTCTCAGTGATCTGCCTGGCCCTGATCGTGTGCTGCTCAAACTTTGTCTTCACTGCTGACTGCGAGATACACTCCTGCGAGGCCACGACACGTTACTGTGATGACAGAGCGGCACAGGGCGGCCGCGCTCAGAGAGCAGGGGGAACATACCGAGCTGCTGCTGGCAACGCAAAGGGAAACCAACTCAAAACCAACGCGACGCCGACTCAAGGCCACCGACTCCGCAAACCTGCAGCAGCAGACCAGTACCTTCCCCCAGGAGCCACCCCCTCAATTCTCACAGTAATGTGCTTCTTCCAGAATGAAGAAACTCAAAATCACAAAAACCCAAAGGTCACAAAAAGAAACAGGACAATAACTGAAACTCCAACAACCATGCAGATCACCAAACACAGCTGAACATCTAGATGGCGATACTGAGGATGTTCAGAGAAGAACTAATCCACTGTGACATTGGAAAATTAAATAAAATCGCATTTAACACATCACATCCCAAGGGAAATTAAAAGAAAATAACAACCAGAAAGCAGAAAAACAGAAAGGAAAAGGAAAAGGAAAAATGAAGGCAAGAACAGAAGAGAGAGGGGTCTTCAGAGCCTCGCCGAAGCAAATCTAGACTTCAGCAATGAGGACACAGCTCGACGGTTGAGCACAGAGCAGTGAGGGCTGCTGGGAGGGCAGGGCTTGAGCACAGGAGTACCGTGCAAGACCAGAACTGTCAGCCCTTCTGCAGTGAGCTCTACAGCCCCGCAAGGGCACAGCGGAGCAGGGTAGCGTCAGGAGGGTTTGCTCCTGTTTCCTCAGAGGGGCGGTTTTCAACTTCATTACGCCGATAGCTCATTTCAAATAACAAAACCCCAAAATTAATAGGACGGAATATTTGTCTCAACTTAGTTTTTCAGCAACCTTAATTTAAATAAAAAGAGTATAATACCTTCCCCAGATAAATTCTGAACTGGCGTGCAATACTTTTGTGTGTTATTGACTAAAGTGCTTGATTTTAAAGGTTAGCAATCTAGATCAGTTCCCTCCGGAAGTACACCGTTTGAATTCTGGTCCTCATTTCCCATTTATGTGCTGAGCTCTGAAGTAAAACTTAGCATTTCCTAAGAGAGAGGAAAGAGAGGTCTGTTGTGAAAGCACCTGCTGTGTGTGCATTCAGCACTTGTACTGCAGAGGAGAGGAGAGCAAGACCGGTGGGTCAGCAGCCCTACAGAGGGACAGAACCACAGAGGGAAGAAGAAAAGCCAGGAGGAGCAGGACAAGCCTCTCTCAGCCTCTGCACTTGCCTCAAACGTTCTCTCAAAATTCTGGAACTCCTTCAGTCTCTCCTGGAACCCTTCAGCTAAAGCACCACCTGTCGCAGAAAGTGAAATTAGTCCTGACATAGTTGAGCAGCAGGTCTTGATCTGACTTTACACGAGCAAAAAGAAAAAATGGAACAAAAAGTTTAACACCCAGCTAAATGCATTCTGCGTTATTGTCCAAGCTGACGTTACACCTAAGTCGACTTTTACAGTGACATAACGCACTCCAGCTCTGTGCACAAGCAGTGCAGGGAGAACCAACGGACACATGCGTATAGTGACAGAATGGTGCCCGTCTTCTTCCACCTGCACGTTTGTCTCGTCTGCCCACTGCCGAAAGTGACCGCAGGTCGCGGTGTGCGTGCTTACCCCCCTCCGGCATGCCCTGAGCTCGATGCATCCTGGCATTCAGCGCCTCTTTCGCCGACACGAAGAAGATTCGACTGGGGGCCTGCTCTCGCTCCACCACCTTGAGCTCCTCCACCAGAAAGCTGACACAGCGGTCCATGTGCTGCCTCCTCACCTGCCGGGTCAACC